CGAGCCGAGCCGAGCCGAGCCGAGCCGAGCCGAGCCGAGCCGAGCCGAGCCGAGCCGAGCCGAGCCGAGCCGAGCCGAGCCGAGCCGAGCCGAGCCGAGCCGAGCCGAGCCGAGCCGAGCCGAGCCGAGCCGAGCCGAGCCGAGCCGAGCCGAGCCGAGCCGAGCCGAGCCGAGCCGAGCCGAGCCGAGCCGAGCCGAGCCGAGCCGAGCCGAGCCGAGCCGAGCCGAGCCGAGCCGAGCCGAGCCGAGCCGAGTCGAGTCCGGCTCGAATTCGCCATACTGATTCGAGCATTATATTTCAAAATTGTTGCAGTTCATCAAAACTCTTTTTCCGGCTAAAAATATTAAAGTGATAACTTTCGAGCTCTGATGCTAAAATATAATTTTTTATTAAACCTTAATCGGAATTATACAGCACGACATGACACGATACAGCACCACACGTCACAACATGGCACGACCTGACCCGGCACGACCAGACGCGTCAAGCCCAGGTCCTCCGTAGTCTACCATCCTCCGGCGTATGGCCTTCCGCAGCGGTCACAGTCCGTTGCAGAACAACAGCGGGTACCCACTGCATCCAGAAACTACCGACCTTCACCAAGCCCACAGCCAACCCGCCGTCGTACAGGCCTTCCGTCCGCCCCAAACAAAAACAGCATCCCGCCTGGGCGCTGAGCGCGGCGACCCAGTCCAGTCACGTGCGGCGCACTCCCTGACACCGCCGCGTCGGAAGTTTCCCTTCCGGCCCAGTCGTCCCACGACTTTGACCCGATCCCGGCGACTGCCGGAGCGATGAGCACGCGCAGAGAAAAACTCGCGGCCGCAGCCCGATCGCGCGTGCCGGCAGCGTTCGGAAGAGCGGCGGCTCGAGCTGACTCGGATCTATGAGCCGCTCCCCGCGGCCATAAATTCATTCAACAAGGACCGTCGCGGGAAAAAACAATCTGGTCTGCATTATTCATCGGCACGCGCACCTAGATACGGAAGCTGCTCTGATAGGCTACCGCTCGCCACGATCCGTCTTGAAACGGGGTTGTTTACTGGCCGGCCGTGCTCGGGCAGCGCAGCACCGACGCAGCCGACGCCCCGAGTTCGGCAGCGCCGCCGCGAGGCCCCGACGCCCGTCCCCGTCGGCGTCCCCGGCGGCACGAGACGGATGGTGGCGATATTGTCTGGGGGACGGCAGCGCGCCGCTCGGCGGAGACAAACGACGCGCGCGGCCCAGGTGCGTGCCCGGCCGCCGGCGAGGCGCCTCACAAAGCGGCGCCGCCGGTGAGGTGTCGCCGCTGCCGCCGAGCAGATACCGTCTACGACTGAGGCGTGGGCGGGTACAGGACGGGCATCGCCTCCTGGTCGCTGGATATCTCCGAGGCGGCCGGAAACCGTTCGACACCGTTCTGGTCACCTCACACAAAACCAGACATGACGCCGACTAGTTCAGATAAGATACATCTACCCACACTACACGAGACCAGACGAGAAGACTATAATCAGATGTACCCAGATCAGGCACAAACCTGATCCACCCACGCCAGACCACAAGTCACGTGACCAGATCGCATGGAACCAGACAGGACGTCGGACCTCGGACCACCGGGGCACGTGGAGCGGCGCAGACCGGCATCGCCGCTGCCGCTCCCGGCGTCTCCCGATTACTCTCTCGGGACGGGCCGCAGGCCGCGTCACTACACCACGTGACCGCGGCGACACGGCCCTCCGCGGCGGGGCGCCGCCGTGTAATCTGCGCCCGCGTGTCACGTGACCTACTGAATAAATGCGTCGCGGACACCGCGCGGCGGCCCGCTGCGACGTAATTGAATAATCGCGTCCACCGCCCGACAGTACAATGCCACGTGACAAACAGCCAGTCTTAATTACGGTGCCACCGGCGCGCCCGAGCCCAACCCGCCACCTTTTTTACTGACGGCGTTTGCCGGGGGGCTCTTGGCCGGCTATATGCGGCTCATTTATCCTGGTTATAACGTCCTCTCCGGATGCCACGTTTGTCTTAGAGGCGACGAATGTCAGCAAAATTGGTTTGCGTTTCCAGTTGCGCTCGCTCATTTCGGTTGCTTTGCGTTTCGCTCATATTTGTACATGAGGATGTATACTGTTATGCTGCACGCGCGTTATTTTGTTCTTTGCATTCTGCGTCATTTCATCCGTTAGCCTTTCCTCCAACCCTCTGGTAGTCGCCGTATGCTTCTCAATATAGCTAGACATAAATAGCCCTCCCGCCTCATCATTTGATCTCGAGCCTTCCTATTTTCTCCCGTTTTCAATTCGGGAGCATCTCCCACATCCTCTGCGTTTTCCAATTCCCGATGACTTCTCCTTCTCCCTTGAGGGATTGATGGACTATTGAAACGACTAGTGTCGGCTCAACAGCCCGATATGGGGCGTGCGAGCAAGGGTGAGCGAGATGATCATTTTAAGCAATAACGATGAAATTACTGCGACATTCGACTCGATACAATTATTTCTAAGCGCCATCCGGCACAAATATCAACGAATCGAAGTTACCATAACGACCCGGGAAGTAATGGAAGGAAATTTTTCTCCGACATAAGGGAACGACAGTCTAGGGATCGCTCACAGGATCATGCAATCTTGCGTCGTCCGGGATAGCATGCAATCTATCCTTTTCGAGGCGGACCGATTCAGATCATATTTCCGGCAGCACAGGTCTATCGATTGGTGACAAGATATACAAAGTTGTTCTTTTGTGAGCTACTGCACCATTCAAAAGTACGGCATGTAGAAAGAGCGCATATACATAATCAAAAACACAAATCACGGAATTATCGACGGTAGGTAATCTTGCATGCAGTGTTCAAGCTGTCAGTGACAAGGTGTGATTAATGATTGAAGATTAATTGATGATGATGCGGAGCTTAAGAGCCCGAATTTACAGCACTAGAAGGCTGACCTTCTCGGAGGCGTGCCGATCTTTACAGAGCACGATTTTGTTTGATCTTTTCTGCCCGTAGACAATCAATTGCTCGGACCGTTTGGCTGAAGACCGACGTTCAATAAACTAATCAAAACGTGACCTAGGTACTCATGTATCCCATAAACCGACGACGATCGAAGCAGTCATTTTCGCCGAACTTGTTCTTCATTGGTCCCTAGATGGGAGCTGGCGAGTTCCTTTGCTACAGCAACTAACCGAACCCGTATCTGTTCCTTCAGGACCCGCTCGCTTCTCTGAACGAGTATTGGCCTCATTGATGAGTCAGATACTGGCCATCCTCTATTACGCGACTGGGGTTCCTTTGTGCATGACTCACCATCCATATTGACATTTCCCCTAAATATCCCCGACCTCCGATGGTTGCTTAGTAACGCTATCTAACAGCTCAGGCGTGCACTCAGCCCTCTGACTCGATCCTCTGCCCCTGGGCGCACGTCATCGAGACCAGCTATCTATGGTCTCCGTCCATGGGTCTATAACTATGCGTGGCACCGCAACTTAGCCGTATCGTTCCCGCTGTACTTATTCAGAGCAGATCGTCTTCCAAACAACATGTGATTTTCCCCAAATACGCAGTCCGCAGATCTTTAACCGCAATTGTTCTCTGCGTTTTGGTATTCCGATCTCTCCATTCACTCAGTCGTCAGCTGCGCAACTCCAACAACTCCTCCTCAAACTATCCATTTAGTGCATGCTTTTCGCTATCGTTACTGCTGTGCTGTCGATCGAAATATTACTTAAACGTTCGCCAGGTGGTCAGCCAATCCTCTTGGCTCCTCCTCTCTCAATGTTCCCAGCGATCAGCTCGTTCTCCTCTCTCCCTGTCCCCTGAAGTCAGCCTGTCCTTCTCTCCTTGCCATCAGCGGCCAGCCTGCCCTCCTCTGACTGTCCTCAGCAGTCGGCCTGTCCTCCTCTCCCCCTGTCTCCGGCGGTCAGCCTGTCCTCCTTTCTCCCTGTCTTCGGTAGTCAGCCTGTCCTCCTTTCTCCCTATCTCTGGTAGTCAGCCTGTCCTCCTTTCTCCCTGTCTCCAGTGGTCAGCCTGTCCTCCTCTCTCCCTGCCTCCGGCGGTCAGCCTGTCCTCCGCTCTCTCTCCCTATCCCTGGCGATCAGCCTGTCCTCCTCTCTTCCTGTCCCTGGCGTACCGCGGACTGCGTCCCGGGGGCCGAGGCGGGGCTCAGCGCTCCAGCCCCGCCAGTCCTTCTAATTACGGACGGCATCGCCGCCTGGCACCCCGGAATTACATCGACCAACTTAGAAACAATTTCCAGCTCAAAGGCTCGCACTCGCATCCCCCGTAATGAAATTTCGCAGTCGGCGACGTTTCCTGCTACGTGACGAGGCCGGGCGGGCCGCCGGCAGCCGACCCGCCGACGTTTTTCGGTACGTGTTCGGACGCAGAGGCGGCCCCCCGTGGGAACAGCTGGGATGGAGGCGGGGGGGGGGGGGGATGACGCGGGGCAGAGGCCGACCCAGCTCGGCAAAATACGCGCTCAGACCGGCTGTGAGGCTCGCAACACAGTCCGGCACTCACGAAGCCCCAGTCGATCGGCACCCGGAAGGGGAGGCCCAAGAGCGAGCCTAATCCAATAGCAATGTAACGTAATGTTAAAGTTATGCTAATATCTCTCGCTGCCGCTCGACAGAGCCGGTGCCTGGCGCAGAAATGTAAGCCCGCAAAGGATGCAGATTTTCAGAGCATTGTGTCTGTCAGATGTGAGATCTTTGTAGCCAGCAGCAAATCCTCAAGGCAGCAGCTAATGGTGCAGGCGTGAGCTTGCCTGGAGACAACAACAGGTCATGCAGACAGCGGCTGATGTCGTATTGTGATGCAGCTGTGTTGATATTGGCTTACCCGGTGCCGGCAGCAGCTCCTCCAGACAGCAGACAACATGTGGATATGTGGGCTTACCTGGAGCCGGCAGCAGGTCCTCCAGACAGCAGACAACATGTGGATATGTGGGCTTGCCTGGAGCCAGCAGCAGGTCCTCCAGACAGTAGACAACATGTGGAGATGTGGGCTTACCTGGAGCCAGCAGCAGGTCCTCCAGACAGCAGGCCAGCTGAGCCAGTAGGCCGGCCAGCACCAGCACGCTGACGACGCCGGCCGACGGCATCTCACCGCTCCTGTCGGGAAAGGAGAAAGCCGTCACTAAATCGCAGGCGGTAGGTTGCAAAGGGATCTGGGTTTACAGCGGTGCTGTCGAAGGACCTTCAATACGCGAAGATTCCTCTCAGCCACATCGCATGCAGAAAGTCTGAAGGTTTCTTGTCGGACGCGCTGGCACTGCTTCTGGGGAACGGAGACGCCGTAACCGACTTCACTTCGGGCGGAGGCGACCTTCTACCATAGTTTTGCCAGATAATGCGAGTGTTTTACCTGGTGCGGAGTAGAATACGTCGCATTGTCATGATCTTTCCCTTTAACAAAGCGGCACGTTTAAAATAAGCTTTGGCGCATTGGTAGAAGTACCGGAGGAACTGCGCGTACGCCGCCGTCAGCGCGACAGACGCCGGAAGCAAAACAAATTGCTAAAGAGAGGAAAGAATAACCCATTCCATCGGCGACAGCTGCTGGAAAGGAACTCGTGGACAAAGGGGCATCGACTTCGTCAGCAGGCCGTCGCGGTACTCGAATAACCCCGAAGAGAGCCCAATGGCCCCCGCTGCGTCGGGGCAGCCCGAGTTAACGAGCGCTCACTCGACATCACCCACGCTGCGCCACATCCGGAGTCAAGTCCTGAACACAACGACCGCCGCAATTCCATGTCGGGCGGCTGAGCGTTGACAAACGGGCCCGGTTATCCCCCGGCGGAGCTTATCTGCCGGCGACTGGCGGGCGCGGCCGTCGCCCAGCCAGTAATGGCCGGCCGCATCTGCCCATCGGCGGCAAACCCCGCCGTCCCGGCCCCAGATAGACGCGCCTCCGGCCATGACGAAGCCCGACTGCCGGCACCGGCTGACTAAGCGCGTCGCATTCGCCGCCGCCGCGACAAACGGCGCATAAAGCAGCGGCGATAGGATCAGTATCGCCTGCCGCGCGGGGCTTCGCCGTCCCGCTATCCGTGTCGGCTCCGACGCGGCCGCCGTCGACGGCGACGCGTGCGTCACGCTCACGCGCTGGTAACACGGGCGACGGCGGCGGCGTACGGCTTCTGCTGCGGCTGGCTAATGGCGGCGGGCGGCGGGCGGCGGGCGGCGGCGCATCCATCAGCGAGCGCCGGCGCCGGCACGCCAGGTCAATATCGGCCCCGGGGGCACGGGCCAGCCACGCCCTCATGCCCCTGCGTTACGTGCCGGCCGGCAGCGCGGAAGAGTGCGTTAATTATTCCGTGAGAATTCCTTGCGGACGACTCGGTCTGAAGGCGCACCAGCTGCGCTCATGCCTCGACGCCGTCTGCAAAGCGCCACGTCTGTGGGCGGGGCGTGCACCGACGACCTACCCGTCCGGCGCGGCGCGACCCGGGCCGGTCGGCCGCCTCGCCCCGGGCGGTGGTGCGTGACGGCGGCACGCACGGCCGGGCGCCCACGCACAATGCGCGGTGGCGGCCGACACGCCGGCGCCCTGTCGCAGCGGCGGCTCGATGCTTCCGTCTCGAGTCCGTCAATTAGCGGACACCGCGCCGGCCGTGTGATAACGGGCGCCGCCCTTCGACCGCCGGCGTCGGCTGAGTCAGAGCCGCCCCTCCCCCACCCTCGTCCCCCCGGGACGGGCCGCGGGCGGCCGAGCAGACCACCCGCCCCTAAATCCACACGATATTTGGCAGGATAACAGCGGAATGGCCGGCCGCCTAATAGAACGCTCACGGCTAGGAGTGGGGAAGATAAAGTGCTCGGCACCACGATTGATGTCCTGTAGCAAAATTAGCACACCTTTCCATCACGGGCGAATGGAAGCTAAATATACGGTGCCGTAGGCCGGTACCGTCTGTTTCTGGCCAGACGACGCGTTAATGACGTCAAGTGGTCTGGCCGTGGCTTGTTTTACTGTGCCAGCCGCCGCCGTCCTGCCGTCTTTTCAGCGAGCTACGGCAGCAACAACACCGTCGCAGCGAGCGGGAGCTGCGGCAGTGATTCGGCGCCAACTCGCTCCGGGCCAATGGCCATCCCTCTCGCCCAGCGCAGGCAGACCCGCCGAGCCGACGGCGCGCGCGAGTTCGCCTCAGCGGTCCGGGGTCACCGCACGACTCCTGACGGGGCGCCGCGCCGGCGTCTCTCTCCGGATTACCTCCCACCGGCCCGGCCCCTTGCTGCGTCGAGACGATAACTCCACAATCTATAGAAATGGCGTGAAATAGTGTCCCAGATTGAACTGATTTAGCCACAAAAGGTTGTTTTTGTCGCGGGAAGATTTTCGCTCGCAACGGTTGCCGACTTTGCAGTCCAGCGCACGCGCTGTTTTTCCGCGGTGAAATAACAACAGCGAAAGCCTCTTAAAAGGCTGGTCAACACAGAATATCTCACTACGGCGCAAAGCGTCGGCCAATATCGGCCAGCGGCTCGTACGAGCGAAATGAGTCCGGCCGGTCGACCCGCAATCAACTGAGCTGCTGAGTCCGCCACTTGAGACGTCCGCTGACGCGTGCCGCGTTATTCGGCGCGCTCCGAAAGTCAAACACGACGCGACCATGAATTATGCAGCCGGCCCGAGCAGCTGAACGCCTTCCCAATCCACGCCGACACCGACGCGCCGCCTCCGCAGACGGACGGACAGACAGACAGCTCAAATAAACACGGCCCGGCGGTGCCGTCACAGGGAGAGGCGCTGAATTCATGGCATGCCGCCGCCGTGGCCGGCTGCCCGCCGCCAGCGGCCGGCGATGCCGGCCAGATGGCCCGACAGCAGACGTCAGAGGCGCGGCAGCGGCTGCTGATGCTCGGGCGACACCGCGGGCGACTTCCGAGACCGTGCACGCGGTCCGGAGACAGCCGAGGCCCGGTGGCCGCCGGACGGCACGGCCCGGTGCACGCCGAGGCCTGGATTTTCCGAGGTTTGCTTTGTCTCAAACACCCGTTCCAGACTGGCATTGAGTGCGTGGCTGGCGCAGCTGTCATGCACAGGCGACGTGGGACATCCTCAATGTGATGTCCCAGAATGCGACGTTCTGGAAATATATAATTTGATTTGTTCGCGGCTCTGCTGCTGGCATTAAGTTATATTGAACAATGCAGTGCTTTCAGAACGTCAGATTTCACGTCTCCCGCTCGCGGTCACAACAAAAATATGTCTGACTGACTCCCACGCGTGGCAGGCGACGTGAATTCACCGTCGCGTGGTACGATAAGCCACATAGTGTGGTCACGGCACATTATGGACGATCAACAGTGCTTTACCGATGTGGCCGTTACATGGGCACGACCGGCAAATATCCTTTTTGACGGTGGGTGAAGGAAGTGGTGACAGAGTTATCAAGTCAGATTGTACGGAAACCCAAGTAAATGTAGGCCAACAACTTTGAAATCCGTGCCGTAAAGGCATTTTCATTCGCTATGCCCATCTTTCACGTGACTTTAGCGGGTCAGGCCAAATTTACTAATGAACTTCTCAGTTCGCGCACCGGATGATTAATGGCATTGCTTGAAAGCTTACTTAGCGCATACAGGACCTCTCAAATGTGTCTTGAACTATTACAATGTCTCCTTGTAGACAAAGCCCGTGAGCTTGAATCAAACACAGCCATGCGCAAAGAGAGCGTGAGTGTCCAAACTGGCCACATGGTTAACGTGAGTCGTCCACAAAATAGGTCATGTGTATTCTATACAAGAGATTATCTTAATCGGTTCACGTTCGCGTGATAAAAATAGTTTTAACACAGCATTGTATGACATGTTTTTTTAGATGGCGTGTGCATGTCGACATTGGACGGTCAGCCGGGTTGCGTCGGGCCATGTTCGGCCGCTCAAATTACAACTTCATGCTGCTCATATATTCACTGGGTCTGCAATCTCGTGAGGACCAGCCCCTTACGAAAACGTCAGTAAGGACGCCTACTTCGATTGGGACGAAACGGAAGCCATCGCCCAAATCCAGAACACGCATGTGCTGTGGCTTGATTCATGACGTCACCTATCTGTTGTCAAATTCACATTATTCCTTATTCATCCTGTCCATCTCTTCCTTCGTCAACTTATTCCGCTGCACAAGAGGCTCGGCTACGGGGACGGAATCTCACAAGCTGCACTTTATTGCGCGGCTGACCCATCCTGGTGTCCAATGTTAGGACATACTGGATGCTGTTTTATGCAAATCAAAGCAGCAGGAACAGCTCTGGAAACTCCGTGTACTGCCGCAATGACACCTTGGCGATTCGGTTCATGACTACTGGCATTGTTACAACCCTCCAGGAAGGGGCTCCTGATCTTGCCGTCAGTGCAGGTCCATCCACCAGCGCCCTCCGCTCCTGGCGCCGCGCGCCGCGATCGCCGCCGACCTCCCAGCCGTCGGCTGCGATCAGCGGCTCGCCGGCTCGGCGGCCGGGCGTCAATCGGCCGTTTGATGGAGCCGCTTCCGGGACGCGAAAAACGGCTCGCTCGTCGGCGATATCCGGCGCGGCCACCTCCGGAACCGGCACCAGTCGGCGGCTGATCGCGGAGCGCCCGGCTTCCGTCCAACACGGCGGCCGGGGACCGAGCGGAGGCAGACGCCGGCCCGGCGCGCTGAGAAGGCGGCGGGGCTGGCCGGCTCGCCGTCCAGCACGGCGGCCGGGGACCGAGCGGAGGCAGACGCCGGCCCGGCGCGCTGAGAAGGCGGCGGGGCTGGCTGGCTCGCCGTCCAGCACGGCGGCCGGGGACCGAGCGGAGGCAGACGCCGGCCCGGCGCGCTGATAAGGCGGCGGAGCTGGCCGGCTCGGCGTCACCGCGAGACGCGTCCAAGAACTGTGCGTGGTCTGGAGAGCTAGCGGGCAAGGAGCAAGAGCACAGCACCATGTGGATGTGTGTGTGTGTGGGGGGGGGGGGGGGGTAATGGGAACAGTAGTTGAAGGATATTGCATTATTTACAGAGGTGTTATATTATCATTATAGTTATAGCGATCCATTGCGAGACAACAGAAGACCATGTCACGGCATTAACCCTTGCCTACATCAAGTAGCCTCCTAAGAATCATATCGGTCTCAGCTATATTCCATCTGACGACAATGGTCTGTTCTTTTCTATTTCTATCGCATGTGAATTATCAGTACTCATGCCATGCCCACCGCTACCTGACGGTGGCTACCCTCATACTGCGGAAACTGGACCTTCCTATTGAATAGACTTTCACACGATCGCATGACGCAGTGCCTTTCGGTCACGTGTTCAAACAATATGCTCGGCGCTGACAGCCCACTGAGCAGGCCCAAACAAATCCATAACTATAGCGATTTATGCATATTGACGAGACTTGTGTCGTGCTAATGAGGCCATGTCCCCGGGCTGATACAATATTTAGGCGCGGTCGCCGGCCGGCGAGGCTAAGTAATATTGATCCGGTGTCACAGCGTGGGGGATCGGGGACCGAGGGCGACACCGTCCTACAGTTCATCTGCCCCCCCCCCCCCCCGCCCCCCGCCGCCGGCGGCTCGGCTCAGACCACCAGCTGTAGCCAGCGCCGCCCCGAGGAATTACCGCCGCCGCCTTCGGACCAACTTTTAACTAGACGGCGGCGGCGGCGACCGCCATGGGCCGGTCCCGGCCGGGCTATCTCGGGCAGCAGGCGCCGGCGGCGGTGACACCCTGAGCCCGCCGTCGGGGCCGGCCTGGTGCGGTTCATCCCGCCGCCGTCGCCGCCGCTCGGATTACCGTATCTCCGGGCGCAGGGCCGTCTCCGGGCGCAGGGCCGTCGCATGAGTCTGGCAGCGCTAGCCTAGCCCTGTCCCCTAGCCTGGCACCACCGCGCGGCCGCTGGCGGCCCGCGGCGGGGGGAGGTGACGGCCGCTGGCGGCCCACGGCGGGGGGAGCTAACGGTTGCTGGCGGCCCGCGGCGGGGGAGCTGACGGCCGTTGGCGGCCCGCGGCGAGGGGAGCTGGCGGCCGCCGACGGTCCGCGGCGGGGGAGCTGACGGCCGCTGGCGGTCTGCGGCGAGGGGAGCTGACGGCTGCTGGCGGTCCGCGGCGGGAGGAGCTGGCGGCCGCTGACGGTCCGCGGCGGGGGAGCTGACGGCCGCTGGCGGTCTGCGGCGAGGGGAGCTGACGGCTGCTGGCGGTCCGCGGCGGGAGGAGCTGACGGCCGCTGGCGGTCTGCGGCGGGAGGAGCTGACGGTCGCTGGCGGTCTGCGGCGGGGGGAGCTGACGGCCGCTGGCGGCCCGCGGCGGGAGGAGCTGACGGCCGCTGGCGGCCCGCGGCTAGGGGAGCTGACGGCCGCTGGCGGTCGCTGGGCACGGAGCCGTGGCGGCCCCGAGAGGTGGTGTCGACACGGCGCCGACTCGCGCCCCGAGGTGCGCTAATCCGGCCGACCGGTGGCCGTGGGGCTTCCGAGGCCCGTGTCGTGGGACGGAGGCCAAGCCCGGACCGGCTCGGGCTGCCCGGCCGGCGACGTAAGCTAGGTTCGCCGGCACTCAGACCGCTATCGCCCAGTCCGTTTCAAAGGGTTGGTTTCCAGCGATTCAGACTGCTAACATATAAGCTTCGCATCTTTTCAAAGTTATCAATGTTTCTTATGCTATGATCGATTTTTCTTCTCTCACGATAGACTCGTTTTCGAAAGTTCGTTGGTGTTTGATTAGCTACGCCTTTGATTAAATTTTTTCGTTCGATGCATTTGGTTAGTTTTTTCTCGGAGCCCTTCAATCGACCTTCAGAATCAGCCATCTAGGTCTGCAGGCCTGATTAACAGGTGGAGCTCCTGAAGCCGCACCACGTCCACTCCTGCTGGGCGTCAGGGGGTCAACACACGACCGCCTGGATCCGCAGCGTGCCCCCTCCCCTCCCCTCTGCGGTCGACCCATCACCCTGCCCCGGGCGCGCTGCGGGTCAGAAGGGAAAGGAGAGACGCAGGCCGCGCCTTCCCAGCCCCGCCTGGCTATGACCAACTCATCAACGGATTAGGGTCGGAATTGGCAAGGGAAAACTGCCCTCCGGGGGCCCATTGTCGGCCGGGGCGGCCGTGCTGACTGCGCAAAGCCTTCCCTTCGCGCTGACGACAGAAGGCACTGGAATATTCGACAGCCCGGACCACACAACGGCCAGCAACGTGATCGATGGCCGGGCCTTCTCGGTATGGCCACAATGAACGACACGAGGGCTCTTTTCCACCATGGATTGGATGGCTTGGGCAGCGTTTTATTGCCAGGTAGTTTGGCACTGCCACACCTCCTGGGCTGAGCTCTCCGATAAGTTTACCTTACAAATGACTAGCGCCAGGCTGACTTAGTCTTGTAAATCGCTTAACGTCTGCTTAAGAGCTGAGAAATACAGCCCGCCTTGACCACAAATATTGCAGTTCGACCGGAATGAAGAGAAACGGCGGGGCAGCATGGCGTGCGTGGGAATGCAGTCGCTTCTTTCAAGCTGAGGCACGAGAGACTTGCAGATTTACAAACAGCCACAACCTACACGGGGTGCAGTGACCACTATCACTAGGTCTCAAGGTGCGCTTACGTACTACTCCTAGCATTAAAATGAAAGCTGCATTTCTCTGTTTAAACTCTTTGTTTTGATGGCACCGAAGTGTCCTTGATCGGGCAGACAAAACAGACACGTCGAAATCAGGGCCAGGGGTGTGAGCTCTGACGTTTGCTCTTCGCCTCCATCCTGTTGTCCTCATACTTGGCCTCGGAAAAGAACTCTCCATCCCGACCCACGAACTTAACCCATGACCCGTGCACCCCAGAATCAGTTTGCAGAGCCATGTCAATTTCGGCAGACGATTTGTTCTATATACTTATATACTATTACCATTCCTATATACTTATATACTATTCCATATACTATTCTTCAGATGCATTAGGTGTCCCTCAGCAACACATGCTGCCACAGTAGCGATAATATACTGACATATGAGTATCTTTCTTAGTATTTGGCGCCAGTAATGGTGGCCACAGGGCGAGGTGTGCGCGTATTAACTTGGCAACGGATGCCACGAATCGCGATTATCCCTAGCTGAGTGAAATCCGCCCACCAAAACGACTCGTACGAGGCTGAAACATTCAAACGTTGACGTTCATACGCCGTCTGCAGAAATTGCCACATACCAATCCTCGGGAATATATCAATCCCCGAGGCAGTTCCGGTTCAGACAACCCTTCAAGCATGACCGCAAACCCTCATAAGCCTGGTCTACCGGGCGAACCATCAAAGATCCTGGTTCTGATGGTGTGCGGGATAATTCGGCCATCCATTATTGCTGCTGCATCATCAGGGCATTGGGTACGGCCCGGTTAACCACGGGCAGTGCCGTGGTGTTTTGAACATGTATTGTCGGCCTTCCGTTTGCCACGCTGCAGCTACGGGGAGACGGCCGCCCGATGCACGCCGTAGTTGTAACCCTGCATTCAGGTCCGCTCCCAGCGGCACAGTCTCCCCCATCTAGCACGCGCGCGGCCAGTGCCCGGTGCAGCTGCCTCCGCGCGGCGGCTGGCGGCACCCCAGGCAAAGAGCAATAAACGCAGATTGGCGGATGGTTACTTTCGCGTAAGCGTCCTTCCGCGTTTCCAGGCGCAGAGGCGATACAGGTAGGGAGGAACGTCTCTGAAACAAGGCACCCTTAAGGTCTTGACATGTGAATAAGTGCTGCTGGAGGCAGCAGGTTGAGAACGCCGGTCTGCTCCCAGGACGCAGTTATATCGTGAGCAGCCAGACGGTGTGCACTCCCGCTCATCCTGAGGCTGCGAACCCGGAAAACAGCTTACCTGAAGCTCCGGCCGCTACGGTTGCACGATATACCGCGAAAAGAGGCTTACCGATCACTCAGATAACACCATGAACACTGGCACCCGCCTAAAACTCGACGTAAATGCGAAATACTGCCGACAGCGCACACGACATGGCCGTCCGGCGCTTTGTAGCACGTTCACTCACCGCTCGCTAGGTGGCAGCCCTGTACGGCCTCGGTAAGGCAGGCTGCGCGAAGCCAGCGCCATCGTCCGTGGGGACTTGAGGCGCCGGACAAGGGCGTATCCTTGACCACGGCGGTGCAGCATCCCATGAACAGGTGGGGGCCGCGAGCCCGCGAACGAATTCTTATCTCCGGCAGCGTCAGTCGATGTTTTGTTCAGCATGTTGCTTGAAATGTTACTTAAAAATATCCACCAGGAGCTGATGATTTGACCACTGATGATGATATGCAGTTCATAATTATGATTTGTGGTTACGTTTATAGTGATCCACTGTGGTGGTCTGCGGGAGTTCCATGCAGTGAATATTTAACGCACTTTTTCAAATGCAATCCTAAATCTTGTAACCATTCGACCTTGACGACTGCTCTTGCAGGACACCAAGGTGCTTTGGGTTGGTGGATGATGTTCTATGCAGTTTGTCTTAAGACTGTGCTTTTGAAGAGTGTTGATGGCAATTTGATCATACTGTGTGACATTTTTAAGTCAATGTAGTAAGGAGGTGGCAGATTATTGGTATGCTGCTGGCAGCTTAACCCACGCCATGAAAGGGAAGGGGGGGGGGGAGGAGTTGACGCGCCTACCCCCTACAATTTCCTGAATATATGTGTACGGTATGATATGCAATTGCACCGAATTTTTCGGAGGTCTCTAGGACCGTCATTGCACATGTTTTAATGCAAAACAACATTTAAAAACAACAACAAAACCTTTCTGGCTTCTGAGAAGTGACCATTTTTTAGGAACACTGCACGGCGATCTACAGCCGACGCCGGAGGCGGCCAGTGACGTACGTCTCCGTCGATCACGCGGCTCGAGCCGATGCTGTAATATAACTGGAGTGACACATAATAAATATGCTTAAAATACAGAACACCATATGTCATTGTGCTCAAAACTTAATAATGAACCCGTCTCATTGGTCTGAATGTCCCTGCATGCAATGACTTCGTACATATTGATATGCAACTATGGAGTTGTTCGATTTCAAGAACAGATGGCCTTTGACCTTACATGGTTGGGTGATTTTTGACCTAGCAACATCTGACTTATTGGCAATCGCGATGCATTATCGAGACCAATCCATTCTTGTTGCTATGAGACTGTTTCGTTTTTTGTTTGGAATAGTATGGGTGTTGCGTCCCCCACCCCTTATCAATCCACGTTATGAAAACCCCGAACCAGGGCGAGGGTTATGAAGACAAATGCTGCTAATGCGCCCGCAAACGTAAACTATGACCTACAGCCGCAATGATGACGAAACAAGCTGTGCGCTGTTGTCGGGTCCCAAAATCAAATGATGCAGTTTGCAAGTCAAATAAATGATTTAAAGCGCCCCACCTTCCTTTGAAAAAGCTAGCTCCTTCATTCAAGCAAGAACGGTGGGAAGTGCTACGAGAACCATGAGAGACCGCTTGGTTTCCCTTTGCGAACCCCTGGAGGTGCATGTTTCTATAGCAAATGGATCATAGTTGACGAGATTACTTGATTTATGCGAACAGCAGCCACTGTATCAATGTCCCGCAATTCAACAGGGATGCACTGCGAGATTGTTTTTTGCATGTTTGTGGCCACAGCAATTATTCACCATCGCACATAGGATGCAGTTGCGCGAATGTTCCAAACTGGGCGCTTCTTGGCGCTCCTTGACATAAGCACAAGCACCATAAACCACGGCCAGTTGATCTAACCGCCCGGGTTTTCACAGGAAGCTTGTGGCGCTCCGGAGGGAACTGGCCTAATCAGGTCCCCACGACACAATGGATCAGGTCCCCACGGCACAATGACCTGATCAGGTCCCCACGGCACAATGACCTGATCAGGTCCCCACGACACAAGTCGTTCTTCGCGGGTGAGAGCACCGGATGATGCGCGCCGCGTGCTGCTGACCGGCCGCTGCAGACGAGCCTGCATTCGTCGTCAAGCTCTGGCGATTGCTGTCAGAGGGTCCGGGCCTTCAGAACGTGAGATTCAACTGTCATGGACCAGTTAAGCACGCCGTTCCGAATGGTGTTGAACGAAGTATCTCACGAGTGTGAGGACTGAAAGGAAGCTTTAGGTGAGTGGGGTTGCCAGAAAACTGAATGCATGCAGCTTCACGTTTGAAACAGGTGAGCAAACGTTCGGATGAGAGCATCTCTACTCATCTCTCCTGACGCGATGCAGCCTGGATCTAAATGATGTGTCGTGATGCTTCTCCACAGGCTGATATTTCCCCCGGAAATTAAATCTGAAAGCAGAAGAAGGGAGTTCTCATGTATGATCAGCTCAAGCCTCTGATGTATTGAAAGGACCCGAAGGCATCTTTATTGATATCGACAACACTGTTGAATAATAATGACAATGCACGACGCTCAGTATACCAGAAGGCGCAGAACAAGCGAAATATTGATACAGAATGTGACATTGAAAGAAACCAACTTTTGATCAGTGCTTTTTATGACATTTTCCCGATAACTCACTTGGTTAGAGCGCTACCTTCCACCCAACCACCCGTGGCTGGGTAGGTTCGAGCCACTTTAGCCGCTCGCTGTCAGCTCTTGACATTTATTACCTGCGGCCGGTGGCAGAGGACGCGTTTGAGTTCAGATGACGTCAGAGGTCAGGACGAACCATGCCGAGCAATGCGAGCGGCACCTCAAATTCCCCCCCCCCCCCCCCCCCAAATTCTGCCGTTCACCCGACATTTCAAGATAGTACGCGGGGGCCAGGTCTCACCCACTAAGCACTCCTTAGCGTCAGTTCTAAAGTCGTAAACACTATGCGATTTATCGCAAACAATAAAGCAAACATTCTGCGATTGACGATTGTGATATGTATGGGGTTTTGGATTCTGGAAATTCAGATAAAATCACTGAACAATTTGGACAATAAGGCCATGATTTACCTGTAATATTCGTAACAATGCAGCATTTCCTGACGCGTCCTATGACTGGTGACATCCGGTACAACAAATACGAGAACACTAGTTTTGACTACATGGTGACTGATGCGTATGGTTTGCCATAGACCAGTTGTCTGTAGCTCTAATCACTGAGCACTTCACGCTTCCCCGTCTTTCAGAATCGGCTGAGGATGTCAACGGTTTCCCAGACCACTCAAAATGCAACATTAACGGTCGAATTTTTAAAGGCATAGAGTATTAAAGGCAATGCTGTAAACAAGATGGGAAACGGATGTGTATAATGTTGTGTATTGAATGCTCGATTTACCAATAAGTGTTTGAAATATGATCGTTACTTTAGCAAGTGCAGTTTACAGATGCCGATCGAAGGCGGGGTAATGAGTGAAGAACAGAGACGACGACTGAGATCTCATCAGGTGATGAAAATGTCGCTTACCAATTAAATTAATAAATTATGCAATTTCGCCCATTTTAGGCTTCTGGTTAAAGCTTTTGTCATTTGTGGTCATTGAAGTGGTATTTGGCGCACTGTTACTACAGTGCATGCAAACAATCAACAGGTTTTCATAGCCTTTCTCCTCTCCGAGGTCTGGCTGGTGCCATTACTCTTGATGTTTTCATTTTATATACTTGCAGCATGCATCATAATGAGCATTTCTTCAGTTGGATGTTCTGATTATCCAGGTTAGGTTTGACCATCTCAGAGCAACGAATCATCTTCAAAGCCAAACCGATCTTTTCTATTTGAGCAAACGATAAGAAGCGCTGCCATACGTTGCAACATACCATTTTTGAGGGTGATTCGGTACAAAATCATTTTTTGGTGAGGCTGAGGGCTTCGTAAAAACCTGACGTACAATAATAAGTTATTCTTGAGCTTACTTAGATGTGAAACGTTGACCGATTAACCCGTTTTTACGCCCGTTCCATACTCGGGGGCTGGCAGACTTTCCTGTCAATTATTGAACCAATGCAGATCGAACATTGAAATGAGAACCGGCGTGTTGCTCGTGGTCTAAGACATCTAAACATACCTTTTTTGTTCCACCTCATTTGATGGGCTTCCAGGTCAGGAAAATAACCTTAAGGTGGTTATATACATAAAATAAAATGAAGCGTTCTCGCCATAGTAGTTTTCAACGTCAAGACAAAAGTAATTGCGTAAGCAGCAGTGTATTCTTTTCTCTTTTTCGGTTCTGGAAAGGTGCGGGTTCTTGGGTCTGGGTCAATTGATGGACATCACAGGTCATGGAAACATCACCAGAGTCGCCATGGTCATTGGAGTTAGTGCACGATATATTTCCCCACCATATTTCCCACTACTAGTAGCCGGCGTAATTCATAAGGTTGAGTTACGGGGAAGAAAACAACGCAATGATCATCTTTTGAGTTGTTCAATTGCACTTGTTTTGGGGGGTCAGTTCGTTAATTTTTAGATCGACTTAATATTTGAAATCTACATGCATTGTATTGCTGTGCAATGTAGGTAGCTGTCCCACGTCCATTGCATAAGCGTAATTTTAATTTAACGACGACGCAGCTGTGAATAATTTGAATTCGTTGCATTTGACGCGTGAAAGTCGACGTCAAATTTGCATGCGAGGCGTCAATGTCTTCCTCTGTCTGTGATATGATAATTACCCAGGTGCTACAACGCCACGAACGGCATTCGGCGCAAGATGACGGACCGTTAGAAATGACTAATAAGTCGAAAACAGGTGAAAGGCCGGTACCATGTCAAAGGGGCACAGAATCTTACAATGAGTTGCAATAAGAATCATAATCTAGAGGTCGTGTTGAAGAGCAAGGCCGAACAAGTGCTCTCAAGTTGTACTAGACACGTAATGCAGCTGCAATCACAGGTGAATACAGAGCGGCACAGAAGCTGCGTGCGGGCACCAGCACTTCAAATCATTAACTTGCATGCAAGTACCCGTAAGCAAGGCGAGTTGGGAAACGAGCAGTCACCAATACCACACACCAGCACTAAGCCTGCAAATAAGGCTATCGATGCTTAGCTACCTGTTTACATTGCTCTGGCTCG